CTAGGTCCATCCATATTTCTCTACCCAAAAGGAACCCAGACATGCAAACGCATCTCCCTTCTACTATATAAGTGAACTTGTTCAAACCCTTTGGCTATGTCAATGTCCATTTTCCATTCTAAACAAAATCCCCATTCATTTCCATACTATCCATTAACAAATCCTTCAGATCACATTAGGAATAAGAGTTTATATCAGGGGTAGGCAACCTTTCCCCTTTAAGGGCCACGGGACTTCAGCTCCCAGAAGCCTCAGCCATGTTGACCAATAGTCCCATGTTGGCCAATAGCTCCTGGGATTCTGGGAGCTGAAGTCCCTCGGCCCTTAAAGGGGAAAGGTTGCCTACCTCTGGTTTATATTATTATGACTACAGAAGCAGAGGGTGAGAATTATTCTTGATTAATCAAGACAAGAGTTCAAGCCAGTAAGCTTTTGTGAACAGCATACATTTTCCACACAATCACCAGACATGTTAGTCATTTTCACAGCAAACAAATCCTTCATTCCAAGGACACAGACTCAAAAGGTCATTTAGGTGGTGACATTTACCCTTCAACAGTGTGCTGTTAATACCCCACATATCGTGGTGATAAAAAGGTGGCCTTTTTCCACCTTCTCAATACAACTCCAGATGAATACGGTATTTACAACATCGGCTTTGCATAGGGATGTGAGAAAGGGCTAGTTCAATTAACATAGACTACAAAGGCAGGTGTAATGCCTCTAACACTGCAATTTTTCTTCAATCTCTGTGTACCCTTCAACTGACACCATGAAGGTAAAATCAGATTAGAAAATAAACTAACTTTGGTGCAAAACACACTGCAGAAATAATCCAGTTTGAGACCGCTTTAACTGCCCTGGCTCTATGCTATGGAAATCTAGGAATTGTATTTTATTGTGGCTCGAGAGCTCTCTGACAGAGAAGGCTAAATGTGTCACAAAGCTACTGTTCCCAGAATTCCCTAGCATTGAGCCAGGGCAGTTAGTAGTCCCAAACCAGATTAATTTTGCACTGTGGTTTGGATAATAGCTATGTTAATCTGGAAAAGCAGTATGCAAAGGGCTCTCCTGGCACTTTCTGAGAGAGATGTCCTTAACTGCAAAGGAGGACAAAGAACTGTGGAATGTAGGACATTCAAGCAAAATCAGGACATTACAAAATAAGACCTAAAATCCACTTATTTGAATTCTGATCCTGTTCTCTGGGGTATCAGATGCCCCTCCTAAATGTGAATTCACACTTCTCAGGCATGCTCAAGATGGAGGTGGTTTTGAAATTCCTGCTGGAGAGAGAAGGTTGAAATGTAGGACATGTCCTGGAAAAGGAGGATGTCTGGCCAACCTGCTTTGAGATTAATTTCCCCAAACTGCAACTAAGGAACTAGAATTAACTCTGCTAATTCTTTCACCCTATCTGTTCAACTTATATGCAGAACATATTATAAGAAAAACAGGCTTGGACACAGAAGAAGGAGGAGTGAAAGTAGGAGGAAGAAATCAACAATCTGAGATATGTTGGCGACATCATAGTACTAGCAGAAAACCTCACAGACCTGGAACACCTACTAAGGAAGAGAAAAGAAGAAACTGCAAAGGCAGGTTTAATGCTGAACATAAAGAAAACAAAAATAATGATCACTGTGGACCTTCACAATTTCAACCTGGACAATGAAGAAATATAAATAGTAAAAGAATTCTCATATCTGGGATCA